ATCCTGTATTCCTAGGGATGCAAATTCATCTCAAGTCAACACTTTGTTCCTGGAATTTCTTCTTTTTGTAGACTGAGAGTCTACAAAGCTTTGACCTAAAAAGTTCAGTATTTCCCCAGGATAGTGTTAGAAGTGAAAAGTTGGATTTTCTCTCATGGGTATTTTCTTGGTTGGGAGGAAGGAAAAGAATAGCAAACCAACAGTGATAAAAAAGATTGTGCTTGATGAGCTTTTGACATGCTAGCAGAAGTCACACAGAGACATTTCTCATTGCTTCTGTGATAAAAAACTACCTGGTAATATGTATTATGTTAATGGTTTAAAACAAGTAGGTCTAAAACTCCCAAATAATCTAGTAAACCCGAACATAAGTGAGCATTGTGTTCGATTGTGTTTATTTCCAAGGCTGTGAGATAGTACTGTGGGGATTTATTACCTCCTTTTGCCTTTGTAAATAGCCAATAATTCACAGAAGCCTGTAATATCCTCTGGATGATAAGGAGAAATACACTGGTTGCAAGCATGAGGGGAGGTGTCCTGGATTGGGTTTCTTTTTACTGGTATTTTTAGATTTGATGGCCTGTTAAGACTGAATATGGTATCGATAGATGCTGAATACACACAAGGGAATTCAGATGATTACGTGATACCCAGCTGGTGTGCTTTGATACATACAGCAAGCAGGAGCATTTGTGTTATTAGTGATGAGTGATAATAAAGCTTGTGCAGTATTGTGTATTACTTTTCAAAAGTAACTGTGCTAATACAGCAATATGAGCTTGCTAAAGGACCAGCACGTTAATGCAATCTTGCTTTCAGCTTTCTTCTGAACTGATGTGAACTCCTGGTCCAGGTTAGCTCAGCTCCATTTGCAGTCTCTTGCTGCAGAGAGAGCAGAGCCAAGAGTTTTGTGCATCTTCTATAGACTAAAAGGTTCCATATAGCTTTCTACTTCTGTATCTAGGGCCAGGTCCTTTATTCCCACAATACAACATGTGGTAAGGGAGCTCAAATGCAGGAAATCATTCAGAATTCCCTGTGTGCCACCAGGGAAAGACAGTTCTTGACTTAAAAAAGCCCCCCACAGGCCTCATTAGTCTGTTCTCTTGGGCAGCATCCTTCTTGTCATTGGGGTCCTTGATGCCTCAGTAGACAATGTGTGGAAATGGTGCATTTTCTGGAGAATCTCTCTGGGCATGTTGTGAATTTCTGCTTTTTACTTACCCCAGTATCCTTTGCCAGAAACTCCCTACCATCTCTGGGAATGGAGAGCATCTGTGTGGAGTCATCTGAGCACTTCTGCGCAGGTCACCTATGCATGAACATCCCCCTTTATCATTAGACTCATCAGAGCTTTCTGGACCTAAGTCAGAAAGTGTTAACTCACATCAGTCCCACCCGTTAGATGTGTTTTGGATGGCCTGTGTCAGTGTTTAGCTTATAGGCTCATTTGGATGAGAAGAGCTCAAGATCCTATGTGACATTCAGAGGTCAACAAGATTGTAAAGCATTCTGCTGCACATGAGCCATCTTGCAGCTTTTAGATGTGTGCATGTAATGGTCTAGGTTGTACACGCACCCAGGCTCATGAAAAACACCATGAAAGCAGGGCTGTTCATCCAGGCAGCTGGCAAGTCTTTCAGAAAATGTAATTGGTTTAAACAGGCATTTGGTCAATTGTTGCATGTAGCTCAAGGGGCTATCCAGGCCTTATACTTGAAAGACTATGTAGGTACTAACCTTTTTGTGGAGTTGAGGGCTTTCTCCTGTAAGTTTTAAGAACTGCTAATATTCTTTTAATATCACAGTCCATAAACCCCAAATTAGCTTTGATCTGCATGCATTTTTTCTCACTGACAATGAAAATTCTTCATTAAAATATGTTGCTCATTAAAGTGAGAGCTGCATAACTGTTAGGGGAAAAAAGGTATTTTTTTCATGGCTATAATAAATAAGCAAGGCGTGAAGCACAACTATTACATTTTTTTTTGATCTGAATGTAAAGTATTGAGCCTCCTAATGTTAAGCCTTGCTGAAAACCTGACTTCTAGAGACAAAACCTATTCCTGTTTTCTGTCTTTTCCAACTCTCATTACAATGACCCTTGTCATTTTGTGTCTTTCATTTTATCACCAAAACCTCTGTTCTTAGTAATAAGCTACAAACTGTACACGAGTGATGTCCTAGTTTGTTTATTACAGGTTATTTTACACTTATACAGCCTTGTGTATGACCATGCAAAAATTAAAATTGCTAACATAAAAGCTCAAGAACCACGAATCTGTATCATTTCTACCCTCACAACCAACCCATTGAAATGCATATGGAATTTGCTATTGACTCCTTTTAGAGTTGTCTTCTGGTCCGCAGGGCTGCCATCCCGTGGCCTTGGAGAAATGGCAGTTCAGTTGCTTGTTCAAAACCCCCTGCAGAAGCCCCAGGCTGAGGTTTCATAGTGATCAGAATTGAGCAAGGTAGAGGAAGGAGCAAGTGAGATCAGAGTATGACCATGATAGGTGGTATGCTGATTTCAGATCAGGTATGTGGGTAAGAGGTGATGGTACCTCATCTAGCATTCATTTCCATCCTTGTGAAAGTAATGCAGATAGTCTTGAAGGGGAACGGGTTTCTTGGAGAGAAACGGCTTTCCTCAAAGGCAGGGGAGGGAACTTGACTGTGAGAAGGCAGAAGTGTTTCCTGAGGCATCAGAAACTGTTCTTTCCCATTTGTCTTTTCTTTTTGTGGAGTGGGGAACCGTTGGGAATGGAGAGCCTATTTACTGTTCTCTCTTCCCAAGCAATCCCAAAGGGCCTGTGGTTTGCAGAATGCTCTACTGCCGGGCGTTAGTCTTGTGTTTTCACTTAAATCTTTTCACATTTAATATTACCAAATAAAAACAGAGGTGAAGAGGAAAAGAGAAAGCAACAAAACAATGGCTGCGTTTACCCTGTAACAAATTCAGGGAGATTTTTTCCCCCCTTCTCTTTCATGATCTTCCTCCAAGGAGGAAGCAATTGATACAGTGTATGTGACTGAATTAATTGACTTTCATGGAAATACTTGATGAGTACAGCATGTCTAAAAGTTTGGAATAAAACTGGTCCAAAGCTCTCCTCAAAAGTAGACGTTTATTCAGTTGAGCTGTGAAATGGTTTGGTTTTTTTCTTAGCACGTCGTGTCAAATCACTTGACTCTTTGCATTAAAGCCAAATGAAAGCCCACATTAATAAATATATTTTGAGTTATAAAGATTACAGTGCTGTAAGATAACACGATAACTGAAATTTCTTTGCATATTTAAAAATAATGTCTGAAGTTAAATACCATTGATTTAGCCTAGCAAACTGGATATTTTCCCTATCTTTTTATTAAAAAATATATTATTTTGAAGTCATTTAATAGAATTTAATTTCTATTTTAAGGCTGTAATGAAAGCCGTTTCTGCTTCCTGCCCTTATTGAATTAGTTTTTGTGTACCATGAGTTCCATTTTAACCACAATTCAAAAAGGAATGTGCATGTTACTTATTACTTTCCTGCTATTCTTTCTTTTGTTTCTGTATTTTGCTCTTAGGTTTCCTCAGCACATTGTTAGACCCAACCCTGGCAAGAAGGTGATTGATATGGCTCTTTGTGCCCTGGCTAAATAGTTAAACGTACAGTGTATTGTGTCTGCACTTGGGGAAAAAATGAAATGCAATTAAATTCATTTCAACTTCAGTAACATGACATTTCTGTTTCTTTCATGTCAGCCTTTATTCTCTTCTATAATCAGATTTTGTAACCCTTTTTATAATGTCTCCTCACTTCAGCAGTCACTAAATAGGATGCTTGTGTTGCAAGTTAATTAGGAATTCTCATGTGCCCGGGTTGAATTTTCCCAAATCTTTGGTGTGGTTTCCACATCTTCGGAGAGCACATTTCACCGGCCGCTGAGCTGTGAGCCATGAGGTCTATATCCACTCTTGAATCCTCCATGTATGGCTTTGCAAAGGCTTGTTGTGTTCCCATTTGGAAACTGTAGTATTTCTTAAAATATTTCAGGCAATAGGAAGGGTCTGTATATTAGGAGAGATTTTTCAAAACTGCAGCGAAAACTCCTTGGAAACGATTGTTCACCCTTTGTATTGACAAAATCCATGAGGGTAACACTTACAGCCTTTCACAGCAGGTGCCAGTAAGAATGCAGGAGACTGATGGGAGAGGAGATGAAAAGGGGAGGCAAAAGATCTCCATCATCCAGCTTTTTGTTCATAATTGTAAATTACAAAACTACACAATATCAATGCTTAGCTCTAGGGAAAGCATTTGTAGAGTCCAGTGAAGGGTTAAAAGAAACATGGGGGATGAGTTAGGTTCCTATCTAAATTTACCTTAAAGACTATTATAAGTAGGTTTCAAAAGTCATCTTTAGGTTCAGTGAGAATTATTATTTCCTAATGAAAAACACATAAGCAACTCCCATTAAAAAAAAACTTGGAAGGAGAAAACCTATCATACTTGCAGATTTCCTTGGGTACTCAGGCATTATTGTTATAGTATTAATTTCTTCTTTGTTTTAGCTCCACTGTCCCATCCCCCAGCCTTATCTCCCCATCCCTATCCACCCTCTACTGTTGTTTCCTATAATTAGTGAAGATACACATCTGTCTCCAGGCTACCACCTAATCTCTAAGGCCATATGGGTAAATGGAGTATAATTATAATTTGGTAGAAATTGAGCTTTCTGCACATGGTTGTATTGCTCTTGTTCTTTTTAAAGCAGGCAGATTGAATCTATGATATAGTAGCGCTTGGAGGCTGGGGTTAGTCCTTGCAAAGTACATATTTTTTAGATAGAAATTTCATTGTGTTAAATTTGGGTGGGAATTACGCCAGTTTGGGAGGAATTCTGAGCCAATGTTACCACAATATGCAAGCACCCTACATATTGTGAAGAAATCACCTGTGGTTATATGCAAAATATTAACAGAGGTCATTTTTTGTCCCCCTCTTTTTCAGTTATTTTTATTTCAGTTGCTGCGAGGACTGTCTTACATCCACCAGCGTTACATTTTGCACAGGGACCTGAAACCACAGAATCTTCTGATCAGTGACACGGGGGAGTTAAAGCTGGCAGACTTTGGTAGGCAAGCAGTTAATTACAAGTCTCTTATAATGTTGTAGGAATGTCAGACAGATGGTTCCATTGATTTCTCTTCCCCCCACCCTATTCCTTAGACACACCTTCTTCATTGTAGATAATTGCGCATTTTTCTCCTGAGTGAAGAAATTGATTATGGTCAACAAAATGCTTGATTAAAAGGGAGCAAGTGAAAAACAAATATATACTCCAGTTCTCACAAGGAAGATAATGCTGAAACTATTTAAATTTTATTTACCATGAGACCTCTGAATTAGAATTTAAAACCTTTAGAAAGAAAAGAAAAAAAATAGAGAGAGACCTGAGGAAATACAGACTATATGAAGAGCACAATCACTTCATGGAAGCAGCTCTAGGGTTGTGGAGATCTGGGTTAACTTTCATAAAATGGTCATTGAAAGAGACAGAAGGACACAAGAATAAATATCCCTTCTAAAGAATAAAGGAAACTAGGATAACCTGGACTGCTTTCAGTATCCATCACTCCCTTACGGGGAAGCCTTATGTGGAGTATAAAGTCAGGGGAAATTGTCCACTAAAATGTTAGCCGGTTTGCCTTTTTTCATTTTTTAAAATTTTTTTTTAAATACTTTCTAGTGGCTACACCAGGGCAAGTACTCTTTCCTCTGAAAACCATTGTGAATGCAGATGTGGAAAATGGCAATATTTTTCTTTAGTGGTTTTTACAAAATGTTGTAGGAATTTCTTTCTTTCCTGTAGGTCAACTTCTCAGCTACTGATTCCAGCAGAACTTCTGAAGTAAGCTGAAAATGTGACCTATCAGCTTTTTTAAAATGTCTTTTATTTTTATGACTGCTACCCACATCGGGCTTCACATTTCATGCAGCAGCAGTAATGAGGGAGCCTTATGTGCTAATTGGCAATTTCACTGTTAATGTAGTCATGTTTTTTTGTCTTTTAATTAGCGTTACTGCAATTAACAGCTCAGTGTGTATTTGCTATGCTGGAGAAGGGAACAGGACTTCAGGTGGACACAGTCCACAAGAACTTGATTGACCTTTGGATTGTAAGGCAATTAGAGAAATAGTATTAGAAACAATTATTATCTGGTTTTACATACCATTTTCTGTTGCTGTTTTTCAAAACTTGGAAGATGCCAGAAGCATTTTAAGGATATGCTTAAAAAAAGCATTCCTGCATGTTGCATATTACTACGAGATTTTTATCTCTTCAATACATGAAACAGGTGAATCATTAAGTGGGTTTGTAGTGAAATATGAGTTAGTCCTCTGTTGAAGGTGCTGTGCTGTTTGAGATGACTAGTTTTGTTGTATCATTTCTATGTATAAAACGCTATGAACTTACCTGACTTCCAAGTATCCCTGTATTCTAAGTCCTTCAAGAGATTGTGATGATGGTGCTCTAGCTTTGGTGGACACTGAAAACTCTGTAGATGATCTTACAAATGTTTCATACCGTGTGGGAGTTTTGCAGGGGTGGAGGTGGGTGGGTGTTGCTGAAGCTCTATGGCTTTTGTGGCTGGGGAAAGGGAGGCTGTAAACTTTTCAGCTGTGTTTTTTAAGAAAACAAAAAAACCCACCTTTCACCAGCACTGTTAAATGCCTTGCTGGAGGCGTGAACCTATCAATGAAATGTCCAGCTCAGATACAGGTTAACCTCTCTCTGGTTGTATTGCCTGATGTTCCCATAGAGCAGATGAAGGGGTGGGACATTTGTTTTCGCCCTGCTGTAGTAGGAAATGTAACCATCACTTCTGATGAAATTAGTGCCTCATTGTGGCACTAGGCTAAATATCCCAGTGATGACATCAAAGGCAGGATTTTCCCAGCTTTGTGTTGGCAGGAATTTAAGGCTGACTATTGTGTATTATTTTGGGAGACAGACTAGATTTGTATAAGTACAACCAAAAAGAAATACCCAGTAGTAGACATATGAATGTGTAATATTGTGGAGAAGATTTTTTTCTCTTGTAACTTTGTCCTGACCTAACAGAAACATCTGCGTAATCTACTCTCATACACTGAGAGAAGATTATATATCTCCATTTTTTTTTTAAAGCTAGATTTTCTTTCATGGCTCATGACCTCGTAAAATTGAAAACCAGATGGGTTAAATTTCTCTTCTGAGAACCAAGATGAAGAATTAGAAGTGATGAGGTTAAAGTCTAAAGGGTCATGACCTCTTTCACTGGAGGCATGAGAAATGAGAGCACACGCGTGTGCTCTCTGTGTGCACCCCTGTACATATTTCTTATTTAAACATTATGTTATTATAGCTCATCTTCTACCTTCCCAGTACGAAAGACGCTTCTTAAACAAGACGTAAAATACAGTCCTGTTTCTCTTTATGTTTTTCTCCCACGAATGACTAATTCGCAATAATGCATTTGGAAAGGAAGTGGGTTTAGATTGCATATTTGATTAATTACATGAGGAGCAGTATGGAAATTAGAGAGGTGGGTGTTTTGCTTTCAAATGCACTCAAGGCAGGAGAGAACCTATCAAGAAATCAGTTTCTGTCAGAGATAGGGTTGACTTTGCTAGCATAATAAATATAAAATCCTAGAGCAAAAGCCTTTTAGTCTCTAAGGACAAGACCTTCAGATTTTGGTTTCATAAGTTTGCAAAAAATCAACAGCATGGCTGAAGTTTTTCATTTGGCGTCGGGCTTATTTAATCTCCTCAGTGTAGGATATCAAATACTTAAAAGCAGGCTCTAGTGGATCATAGTTCTTGAATAAACAAGGTAAAAGAAAGGCTATTCATGCCTGCCAGTGCATTGCACTGCGGCTGAAGTGGAATCTTTGAATAACCGTGGGCATGTGTTTTTCTACAGCAGGGCTCCCAGACATAGATACTGCACTGTGTGGGAGTGTCTTTTGTTCAGATGAACGGTGGTTTGCTTTTCTGTTCATTGTGCTATAGCTGCTAGGAAATGAGCATTTATGAGAAGACTCAGCAGTCAAATGAAAAGGGAGAACAGAACATAGAGGCTTTATCAAATTAAAAATGGATGAGCTATAAAAAATGGCTTTCTTGAGAAGATATAATAGGGGAGACTACACCTTGAATAATTGTTGCTATGAAAAATAGTCCTTGAACTCCATTCCTGCATTCTTTTTTTCAATCTAATTAAAATTCCAGAGGAAATTAAAGTGTATTAGGAATTCTCCTTATGAAATCAAGTGCAAGAATTATTTTTGATCCTGTGGTGTGAATTTGGCTGTCTACGGGTTTGTTTATTTTCCCCTGCACATGTCTGTCTTGGCTAGAAATGAAGTATTATAAACCTTTAATGAGTAACACCATAAGCAATCAGAAACTTAAATGAATAGAGCTTGTGCTTAATGCTAGTTACCACACAGACTGGGCTCCATAGCTGTTCCTTAGCCTTTGGTTAGTGATTTCTTCACTTTAACTTTTTTTTGCACTGTATACAGATGCATTTATTTGGCCTTCGGATGTGTATTGACTTCAAAAAAGAAAATCTTTGAACCTTCGTTTAGGAAAGTCATTACACAGTTTTAAAAGCCAAGGTATGTTTCTAGAATAAATGCATTTATCTTAACTATAAACAGTGTCAAATGGCTGTATGGCAGTGGATAGGAGCATGAACTCAAAGATCAAGCAGTAAGAATATCTTTTTTTCAAGAGTTAGTTGCGATCAGGTGATTAGTAATCTAAGCAAAATAGTTATCTAAGCAAATATGTGATTTGTATTCATATTGAACGTATTATAACCAGTGCCATATGTCATTTCAGTGATCCATTATTTTCAAAATGTCACTTTGAACCTCTAAGAAATACGTACCAAAGACCATAGAAGCAAATATAGATGAAAACACTGGAGGAACAGACAAGCTCTGCTAGGCATATTGTCTTTGACTCTGCATGAGGGTGCTTGTGAGTGGCCACAGGCAGAAGGGTCTGGGGTGTTGGAAGGGTTTAGATGGTAGCAACAGAAGCTCTGTGAGGAGATTAAGGCATCAGGGAGGAAAATGTGTTGAGGTGAAGGAGGAGGTGGGCAACAACAAGGTGTTGAGGAGGCAAAGGTAAGATGCTGGAAGAGCATGAGGGAGAGAAGCAATAAGTGGTTGTGGAAAATGTAGGCCCAGTGCTAAGTGGGGCAGCTGATGTAATCACAGCAGACTCTGATAAGACTGAGGTGCTCCATGACTTCCTTATCTTGGTCTTCATGAATAAGATCTCACAGGCCTTTGTTCTCAGAGATGGGGTTCAGGGATGAAAGGGGTAAGTGGAAGAGAATTGAGTTAGGGATCTGATCTTCTGAGAAATCTTGACCCATGCAAGTTCATGGGTCCAGGCAGGAGGCCTCCTGAGGGTACTGGGAAAACAGACTGATGTCATTGTCAGGCTGCTCTCTATCATCTTTGAAAGACTATGTAGATTGGGCGAGGTCCCCAATAATATTAATGTTGTACCCATTTTCAAGAAGGGCAAGAAGGAAGGTCTGGGGTACTGCAGGTTGGTCAGCCACCATCCCTGGGAAAATGATGGAGCGAGTCTGCTTGGAAGTCATTTCTGTACCTGTGAAGAAAGTGCCAGTTTTAATCAAGGTAAATCATGTTTGATCCATGGGATTTTCTTCTGTAATGAAATGACTCGCTCTGGAGTCTCCCAGTACCTAAGAGAGGGTTACCAAGAGGATGGTGGTGCATAGCAGGAAGGTGCTCTTTACTGAGGTGCACGGTGGGAGAATGAGGTATAATGGTCATAAGTTGAAACAGAACTGGGTATAAGGATGGAAATGTTCACTATGAGAGGTACTTCAGCATTGGAGCAGCCCAGAGAGGTGGTGAAATCTCCATTTGCTTCACTGACTGGACAAAGCCTTGATCAATCTGGCTGGTTGGACTAGGTGAATTCTCCTTCTTGTGTGGTTCTGTGACTCAGTGTATACCATGCTTTTTTTGTTTTGGTTTTTTTTTAGTGATTGGGTATTGGCATTTAGCTATTGTGTATACTGATATAAATAAAGAT